GCGCCAGACAGCTGTCTCATTAATAGTTTGGTCAAAAAAAACAGCCAACAGCCAACAGTGAAGTCTGAGTTTATGTTGTTTTACTTAGAAAAAAAACCCCTACAGCCAACAGTGAAGTCTGTTGTTTTACTTTCTGTTGTTTTACTTAGAAAAAAAACCCCTCCAGGTTCAGAGATGACAAATTCAACTATACAACATTTTTTGTTAAACGTTGATTAAGTCAACAACGATGAAGACTTTGAAAAGACAAACTTTGTTTATTCCTAACAATCACAAACCTCCAGTGTCGGCACCTGTGCTCAGTGGACTGAACTGAGCTGCTGAAGACAAGGTTCTCCTGTGACTTCAGAAGAGAAACAAGTTGATCAGGATTGTCCACGGCGTCAGGAGTCTGTGTCCAAGATAACGAAGGCCGGTCGACCAACGCAACTCTGTTACAAATTGCTCAATCCAATCTTATTGTGATTGACACAACAAAGATTGACTCCCCCCCCCCAACAGGTCTTCAGCCGCAGCGTGTGAATATTCACGCCTACACCGTGTCACCGTGTCACCTGGACACGTGGCAGCTCCTGGAGTGCGTATCGATCTTCTGCCGACACTGGATCTATTTTGCTGCGCGGCCGTCAGTGGTCTCTGGGGAGGCAGGAATGTTCTGGGCTTCAACACAGATCAACAACAAAAATAGAGTCAGATTCAGTCGGTGTTCCTCTGTTTCTACTCTGTTTAGGTTTGGTTTTCTCTAAAACTCCTCTGAATACTGGATCTCATCTCTGGTCCTTTCTGTTTCTGTCTGTACACGGTCTTCAGTCCAGTTCCCCGGCGCTCCTCCGTGTCGTGTCTTATGTCCGTCCCTGTCTCCCTGTCATTACCTGTCTCTCTCTCCCTCTAATGGCTGCCACCTGTGTCCACTCCTGCTGTGGACCTGGATCTTCATCTGTATCTTTATCAGCTCTCCTTCTCCCTCTCTGCTCTGGTTGTTCACTGGTCCCTGGAGACTCTGGATTTGTGTTCTTTTCAGCTGTGAGTTTCAGGCTGCTGCTCGTTGTTAATTAAATGCACTCATCACCGCCTGCTCCTTACATCCTGGATGTATCGCTGCATTTCCCTTTGGGAACTAAAAGGCGTGGTTTTAATCTCCGTTAGCTCTGTTAGCAGTAGCAGTGAATCAGCTAAACACGTCTGAAAGTTAAGAGAGAGGAATTAGTCAGAATGTGTGAGTTTTGGCCTCATGAAGCTAAAAGACAGAAAAGACAGAAACGTTATTCTGAAAAAAAACCTATAAAAATGGAAAAATAAAAAAATGCCCTGAAGGTTGACCTGATTCAGGATCATTCACTGGAATTATTCACTGGAATTATTCACTGGAATTATTCACTGGAATTATTCACTGGAATTATTCACTGTTCACTGGAATTTGGAATTATTCACTGGAATTATTCACTGGAATTATTCACTGGAATTCAGAACACTGTGATGACAGGGCAACTTGCCACCTTGGGGGGCAGCAACTTAGCAGAAAACTAGCTCAAGCTAGCTGAAAAGACAAGTTCCCGTGGATATACACTTCATGTCTCCTTGTCTCCTTGTCTTCTTGTACCAGTGCCTTCAACATTTTCCCAGATTCTAACACACCAATCACTGCTCCCCAGCGCCTCCTACTGCTAATCCATTAATCCCCTCTTGGGCTGCTGTTCTAGGCTGTTTTTGATGTTAGCTCCTGTGGATGAAGCAGCACACGGTCAGTGATCAGAGACAGTTTGGAGCTTCAGCCAGACGTTCTTGAGAAACAACATTTGATGAAGCTAGTCTTCCTCTTCTTCTTCCTCCTCTTCCTCCCTGACCTGGGACACCGTCACTGACTCGCTGATCAGGCAGATTAAAGGGCCAGATATTTGTCTGAGGAGCAGGAGAGAAGAACGGACGCTCGACAGGAACATGACTCCAAATCAATGCTGATGTTGCTCTCTGTCAAGTTGATGTATCTTTGGGCAGTTGGTTGCTAAAGCATGTTGTCCTTCAAGTCAGAGCAAACAAGAAAACATTTCATCCCAACAACGACAACAACGACAACAACAACAACAACAACAACAGTGGTTCCAGTCTCACATTAGACTTCATTCAGTTTCTGTTGTTTCTGTTTCTGCTCAGTTTTCCCGCCACCCTTGTTAAAATTACAATTTGTATTTCTTCTAACCTCCTTCCTGCCCCGGGGGCAGTATTTGAACCTTATCTGCAGTTGCCCCCCGTTCAGCAGCTGAACCGACATTTCAAAGAGCCGTGGGGGGGGGGTGGTGGTGGTGGAGGTCGCCCAGGCGTGGTAGATGGTTCTTATCAGGGCAGAAAAAGAGAACGCTCGCAGCTCGTCGCTGCTCCGTCAGCTCCGTGGTGATAAATGTTTACAGCCAGACATTAGGAGAAAAATTAGCTCTTTTTGTTAGAGATCATTCACTGGGAAGCGTAGCCAGCCCATCGACGGCTCTGCTGTGAATTAGCTTCACCTTTCAGTGGGGAGCGTGGAGATCAATCTCTCAGACAGGCACTTCAGATCATTATTTGGCGTCCTGCAGGACACGAGGAGTGCCGCGCAGTGACGGATCGTCTCGTGTGGTTATAAACATCCCTAATCATAGAAACTGCAGGGCAACAGTTGATTACTCTGTGTTTCTCAGTGTGAGGACGGTCAAACTGCCAGGAAGTCACGTCCAGGGATCGAGGAAGGATCGAGGTCGACTCTCATTTACCACTGCAGCTGTCAGGAGGGCTGAACCATGCTGTTGGACGTCACCAGATATACTCACAATACAAATACTGTACGATGCAACATCAACTAGTTCTTTTTTTACTCCTTTTTTCAGGATGCTTAAATAACCAAGTCACAGTGGTGCGTTCTTCTCTGGTCTAAACTTTATTATCAAAGACAGCATCAAAGACAAACCAAATATAAACGTTGCAGATATAAATATTGATGCTAATACCTAATGCTAATGCTAATACCTAATTATAAATCATAAGGTTTATTCATGTTGACGGTATTTAAAAAGATATTGTTTTATCTTTACATTTGAATTTCAAAATAATATGAGAAAAATCAAACATTTTTCTGAAGTGAATATTTTAATAAAACCATCTTCGTCCTGGTCTGTAATACTGTAAAAAAGTCAAAAATATTCAGAGTAAAAAACTTTGACTTCGACAGGAAGTTGACTAATGTTACCCCCTGTTGGTGGGTGTGTTCTCCTGCAGGGGTCCCCTCTCCAAACTAAATGATACGGTTTATTCAGAAAACGCCTCCAAACTGAAGAGAAGGTTCTCCCACGTCCACTGGGAACCGAGCAGATCATGAATATATGAATGAACTCTGTAGAAATATATTCAGGTCTGAGTCAAGTTGAACCTTCTGTGGTCAGAGTGAGAAAACGTCTGCGGTGACGCTGTAACCTTTAATGCGGTTTGTTGCTTCCAGGTCCCCGCGGAGTCTTTTTTCTCTTTTCTCGTCCTCCCACACTTTTTCTGTCCAGATAAATTCCCTGACATTTAGGAAACAGATTAAAACAGTGGGTGAGATTTTAGCCCCTCCCCCCACACTCTCCCCCCCCCCCCCCCCCCCCCGTCACAGCCTCGGTGTAGAGAAATATTCACTTCAGTAATGACTCACTCCTAATACTCACTGAAGGTACTTCATGCAAATATACACCGCAGTTTTATTCACAAGGCTCCACATTTACATTGGTAGGAAAAAAAACCAAAACCACCGTTTACCTTCACCAATAAATGTACTTTGACATACTCTGGGTTAGTACTGCTCTGGGTTAGTACTACTCTGGGTTAGAAGTACTCTGGGTTAG